GAGACAGACGGGGGCCCAGGCACTGCTGGGGTCAGGAGGGAGTCCAGTCACATGGCTCCCCAGGATGGAGGTCCCTGCGCCCAGAGCCTGGGGACACGGGGCTGCAGGCTGCACTTGGGCACGGCCCACTCCTGCTGTGGGCTCTCCGACCCTTACTCCAAGCACCTGGCACCATGAGCCCCCTGAGCTTCCTGGCCAGGTGTCAACCAGGAGCTGATGGGAGCTGGGGACAGGTACGGCTGGAGTGGGAAGCAGTGCCCTCGCCACTATCTCATGAGCCAGTGAGGTCCCTCTGTGGGCAGCATGGCACACCCAGTGTGGCAGCAAGGCAGAGGCCCTCAGAAAGCCTGGCCTGGGCCTGCGGCTGGCCTCCTGGATGCCGGTTCTCTCTGAAGCCTGTGCTGGGGGCTCTGCAATGCCAGGGCAGCGGAGTCCCAACTCCCAGGTGCAGCCTACCTCCTCTGCTCAGCACCCCAAGCCAGTGTCACAACTGCCACTCACACCAGGCAGGCCACCGCCCCAGCTTTGCAGAGTAGGCCACTCAAATGTGCTGGGGCCCAGGGAAGTCCCACTTCCAAGAGGCCAGAGAAGTGCCCCCTGGTGGAGGAGAGGGCAGGGTGCCACTACGCAGCCACTGCTTTGGAGTCCTTGGAGGAAACGATGAAGTGGGAATTAGAACCCAGAGATGTGCCGGGACTTCAGCCCAGGATGCCACAAAGTCCTCAAGCACAGCCGCCAAGCTGGGGGCCAGGGTGAGGCCTGCCCACGCACTGGGCTCTCCCCTGCTGCAACCATCACACCATGCACACCCCTGCCGAAGTGCCACACAGAACCCCGCAGACATGTAAAGGGCCACGTCACTTTACAAACTGAAGCTGGGAGCAGGGGAGTGTGCCCATGATCCTAGAGCCTCGGGGTTGAGCCAGGGGGCCAAAGTTCAAGGTCAGCCTAGGCAACTTGATGAGACCCTACCTCAAAATAAAATAAAAAGGGCTGGTGCAGCTCAGTGGTAGGGGATGCTGGAGCACTATGAGGTCCTAGGTTTGATATTTATTTGAGGTACTACAAATAAATAAACACAACAAGCTAAAGAATAAACATTCCATCTCTGAAACAAAGCGGGTTCCCTTTAACGCACTCTAGCCACGTCCTGAACGTTGGCTCCGCAAGTGCTACTACACGGGTGCTCTTGCCGGGTGGGGTGCGAATGCCCCAGTTTGGGGCGTGGTTCCTCCAGGAGCCATGGCCAATCCAGGCACCGCAGAGCCATCACATACGGGGGCGATGGGGAGGCCTGGCAGCTGCTGCTTCCCATAGGCAGCCTCTGTGGCTGCGAGAGTCCCCTCCTGGTCCATGGGGCTGCACCCACAGAGCCCCTCCTGGTCCATGGGGCTGCACCCACAGAGCCCATCCTGGTCCATGGGGCTGCGCCCACAGGGGCACAGTGGCCGGAGCACCCTCTGCACCAGCCGCGTGGTCAAGTGTGTTTCTCTGCTTTGACGGGTGCTGGAGGTAGTGCTGATCCCGGCTTGGGCAGCAGCCTGACTCTGGCTCAGTGCCATGCCGTGCCCACTCCCCAGGTGCCTGGCAGCTCTGCTCACTCGACAGTGGGAAGCCACTCTCCCTCCAGGAGCACCCACAGTGCCATGGATGTGACCCAGGAAGACAGAGTCACATGCTGACGCTCCTTCGGGGGGCTCCAAAGTGTCTGTGGCTCCCCAGGCCCAGTGCAGGTGGACGACAGGCCAGGGGGAGGGCCCAGATGTGGTTAGAGCTGGTCATAACTGATCGTGGCCAAAACCCACGGGACTTGCTGTGTAAAACCATAGCTCTGTAAACACCAGTAGAGCCAGGTAGCGGAGCTTCGTTTCAGTCTCCTGCCAGAAAATAAGCCCAAGGACAGCAGAGAATGATCCTTCCATCTCCTTGCCTTCCCAGGGCTGGGACTGGGACACAGCAGGTGTCCCGTGAATGTCACATGGAATGTGTTTATGTTTTGAAGTGCTGCAAGAACTCTTGTGTTCAGCTGCCCTTCGGGGCTGCATGACCCCTCCCTGGTTGGGATCCTGTGATCTCAACTCTATTCGACCAGGTACCTCCAGGAACTGAAGCGACACTTGTCACCCACCAATCCCACAGGCAGGGTGCAGTCTGAATGTCCAGCCTTACCCACTGACTTCTGTATGTATGGCAGACGTGGATCATCCAGTCTGTGGCCTGCTGAACTGCAGCGTCCAAGTACAACGTGTCAGTATCTTCTGACCAGCTAACCCATGAACTGTCTCTCCCTGGGCATTCCTGCAAGTTCATGTTTTGATAAAAAGTTGGAAATCAACTTATCTAGGTACAGAGGAAAAGAAGAACCTTAAGCTGCTCTGTCTGAGCTGTGTATTTTTCCCTCGGGTACACCTGCTGTGGTAGGGGCTTGCCCTGAGGGTCGGCCCCTTCAGCCCTCAGCAGCACAAAGACCTCCCTCCTGGTTCTGTTGTGCTCCTCTTTAGGCCATGGTCTGGGAGTGGCCTTTGAAGCCCATGTGCTGGAAACCCAACCCCAAGGTCATGTGTTGGTGGTCTGTGGAGGGACAGGGTTAGGAGGCCCTGCTGTCACCAGGGCCCTAGCGGGTCAAGGAGGACGTGGCTTGGTTAGGAATATGCTTGCTCTGGCACACCTGTGAGGGCCATGTGAGGCCCTTCCCAGGTCATAGTGGGGCAGAAAGTCCCCTCAAGAGCCCATGCTTCTGCGTTCCAGCCTCCAGAAGATGAGCCAAATAAGCTTCTATTCTGTCTCCTGCCTGTCTTCCTTTCTCTTTCCCTCCTAACCTCTATTCTTTATAAGTTTCCCAGTCTGTAGTATTTAGTTATAGCAACAGAAAATAGACTGAGAATAGGGGCATTTTAAAGAGCTCTGTGTATGACCTTCCATCTCTTTTTGGAGGGGGTAGGTGGGCTGTCCATCTCATTGCTCAAACCTCGATGCCCCCTAACAGGTGCACAGACTGCGTTTACACAGCTGTCTCAGGACTGCTGAACTTCCTGTCACCTGGTCGTCTCATGTTCTCCAGGACAGCCGCCCACACTAAAAGCCTTCTTGTTCTTTACATGAGGACATCTTAAGTGACCCTGCTCATGTCTCTGGACACCTCCTAGGTGATGACAGAGACACTGTCCTCCAACGGTGCACAGTGACAGTGGAGGCAGAGCCTGCCCAGCCCCAACCCATGTGTCAGGCAGGAGATCCCCCATTAGGGACATAATGGCATCTCTCAGTCCCTGATTGTGGAGAAGTAGAGAGGAATGCTTTTATAGAATTTGGTCTATTTGAACCTTCTGTTGATTTTGATTTTTAAAAAATTCCTAAAAAGGGAATTAAAACTCATTTACATATAATTATGTAATATCTTGTGATTTCTTATTTTTTTTTTCATTTTTTTTTTCTTTTTTACCCCCAGTGTTGGAGACTGAACCCAGCCTTGCACATGTGCTCTACCACTGAACTATATCGCCAGTCCTTATAATTTTATTTTGAGGCAGGGTCTTGCTAAGCTGCTGGTCTTGCTAAGTTGTTGAGGCTGGCCTGAAATTCGCCATCCTCCTGCCTCAGCCTCCCAAGTCACTGGGACCATAGGTGTGTGCCACAGCATTCAGCTCCTCTTTGTCATTTTTTTTTTGTGTGTTCTTATTCTCATTTCTTTCTTGATTAGGTTAGTAATCCCCTCTCCCCTGCCACTACACACGTTTTAGTTTTTTTCTTTTTTAAAAGCAGCATTTTGAAATACAGTTGTCCCTTGGTGTCCTTGAGGGTTAGTTCTAGGACCCCCCGCAGGTACCAAAATTCAAGTCTTTGTGTAAAAGGCTCAGTATTTGCCTGTAACCCAGGCAATCCTCCGTGCAGTTTGCATCCTCTCTAGGTGGCTTATAATATGTAAATATTCTGTAAATAGCTGTTATACTGTATCATTTAGGAAATGACAAGAAAAGTAAGTTTGTTCATAGTTAATAGAGACAAAATTTTGGGAGGACTTTTTTCCATCTAAAGCTGGTGAGTCTGGGGTGCTAGACATGTGGAGGGGCAGGGCTGACTGCCAGCTGTGGTATGTTTTGATTTGGGCTCATTAGTTTCTGCACAGATCCTCTGGTTCCTTCCTTGGGCCCAGCTACTCTCAGCTCACCTTTTCCAGTTTTTCAAAGTGGATGTTTAAATGTCTTCAGGAATTCCTTTCTGTTTGCAGGTTTAAATGTTCAGACAATGCCCTTCCCTCTTGCCTCAGCTCTAGCTACAGCCCACAGACTCACGCTGGCCTCTAGGTAGTCCTTCCTACAAAGGCTCCATTTGGTCTGGGCTCTTCCTTTCATGCTATGGGAGCTGCCTCACCCTGAAGGTGGATGTACAGGGGACAGGTGGGCCCTTCTCTGCACAGACACTCACTCTGAAGGAATCTGCTGCAACCCTGGGGCAGAAAAACCAGTACAGAAGTGCTGAAATGCTTGCTTCATAAATATTTAATAACCTTACCAAAGCTCCTGGCTCTCCTGCTGCATCTCCTCTGCCCTCCTGGGAAGCCCCTAAGCCTCCCCTGGGAGACCCACCTATGGACCCGGCACCTGGCCTCACCTGGCTCTGGAGAGACTGCCAGGAGGAGCATAGGGACCCGGCAGGCTGCAGCTGGACTGAAGCAGGGCATGCAACCATGAGGAAGCCTGGGGTAGTCTCGGTCCTCACAACACTAAGAGGCCCACCAGAGTGGCCACAAGGACACCAACAGTGACTTCTAGGATGGGGCAGAGAGCAGGGGTCGGCTGAGGAGGAATGGGTGTGATTTCTATGTTATAACGGATCCAGTTTGAGAAATAGGAAACCCGGGCATACACTCCAGGGTACAAGGGCTGGGTACATCCGCGGCCCCAGCTCACGATTCCAATCTGCAACCATGTGTGGTTGAATTCACAGACCAGCGGCCCCCCAGAGTCACCCTGCAAAGGAAGTGGGGTTTTCTGTTACCTGAGAGTCAAGGGCCTGCTTCTCAGGTGCAGGGAGGGTGGCCTCGCTCCCCACTCACATGGCCCCCTCCCTGGCGGCAGCAGGCCCAGAGCCACAGTCTAGGCCTAAGGCAGGTATGAAGTATTCATGCACCATCATCAGCACACAGCCATCCCAGGGTCCCTGCCCAGCCCCAACTCCAATCCTTCCGGTGGGGGCATACCTCACACACAGTCCTCACATTAAAGAGGTCCCCAGCACACAGCATGTCTGGCAGGATATAGGACGAGTGTCTGTACAGCAGTGCACACAGGGCCTTGGAGACCAGCGGCAGCTGGACCTCCTGCAGCTCATCCGTGGTGTGACCTGTATGGTTCGGAGAGGGGCAGCTGGGTGAGTTCCTGGTGGGCAGGAGGCAGGGACAACAGAGCCTCAGCCCGCAAGGAACACAGCCCACCTGGGAGAAGAAATGTGCCGGCTTCAGCGTGAGCTGCCCTTGTGCCTACCTTGCTGCGTGACCACTCCCCACCCAGTGGCCCAGCAAAAAAGGTTGGTGAGGTTCACATCAGGAGGTGCCAGGCAGACCGGAAGGACGGCGTCGGAAAACACAATTCGGGTCTTCAGCTGCACCAGAGCCACGTCACCCCCCACGGGGTGGAACCTTTCGTAGTCGGGGTGCAGAATCACCTGGTTTACCTCGAACCACTGGGTGTGCTCATTGGCCACCAGGAGGTTGACGATGCCCACGTACATGTCAAAGATCTGGATGCTCTTGTCCCTGGGGGCCAAAATGAAAGCCACTGCATGTAGCCCCCGCCATCAGCCTATAGACAGAACCAAGACTGGAAGGCGGTGCAGCCTGACCAGCAGAGGTACCCACAATAGGTGCCTGACTCAGATCGCAGACCATCAAGGGCCCCTGGCCAACAGCTCTACAAGCCAGACGCCCCCACATACGAACCCTCCCTTGCAGCAGGCTGGACAGTACACACTTCCCGCAGCAGGCAGATGGCCAAAGGGGAGTCTTGTCCCTGTGCACCAGGCAGCTGCTGTGGACGTGACTGAGGCTCAAGGGACAGGGCCTTGCTCGGTTAGCATCAGGGAGCATGGCTGGGATGCGGTCTCTAGCGTGGGCACCTCGGTGTGGGGCGGGATGGTGCAAGTGGGGACCAGCCTCCCGGAGCGGTAGGGGCCTCAGTGCAGAGAAGGGTTTTGCTCAAGCAGACGGGCGGTACAAGTGGGAACCCGTTACGAGGTGGACGCAACACCATCATGGACACGCTGTGTTCCTGCCTCCCGGCGCCCTCACCTGCCGAAGCAGTGCGCGGCCGACAGCACCCAGTACTCGTTGAGGATGGAGCCCCCGCACACGTGGAAGCCGGCATACTGCACGCTGACCTGCCATGGCCACTTCCCCGGGGGCGCGGACACACCGCCCAGGATCTTGCCCTGCACCGCGCGCCGGCCACAGGCTGGGGAGAGACAGGCAAAGTGGGCGCGCGGCGGGGCAGCGCGAGGGGTCTGATGGCTGCCGGCGCCAGGGACGGGACCTACCCACAGCACTGCTCAGGGAGTTCCCGGAGCTCTTAAGGTGTTGGTGGGCCGCGGCGGTGGCCCGGGCCAGGGGCGTCTGCAGGAGCAGAAGCACTAGCAGCAGGAACCCCAGGGCAGCGCGTCGGGATGCGCCCAGGCCGGATGCGGGGGCGGCCATGGAGGAGCCTCCGCAGCAGGTGAGTATGTAGTTGCAGGTGACAGCGCCCCCAGCCGGTGAGGGCGCGCCAGCCGGACACGTGACAGCGCCTGAGCCCTGGATACCTGATGGCGCCCCCAGCAGGACATGCTCCCACCAATGACTGCAGGCCCAGCAGAACAAGCTCCCACCAATGACTGCAGCCCCAGCAGGACACGTGATGGCGCCCACTCTAGGCATGTGACAGAGTACCCAGCCCAACTCTTGTAGGTGTGGCATTCCATCCCATAGTCACACCTCGATCTTCCAGCTCTGAGAACTTCTTACCCAGCCTGGTATCCCCAGCTTTCTCCTTGGCCAACTCAATTTGGTTGAATCATTGTCTCTCACACCTGTGCAATACCCTGTGAAAACCTTTTATTTTTTTAAATTGAGGCTTCATTTACACACAGTAAAATATACTCATCCCAGCTAGTTTTGACAAGTCTTGTTATCATCAAGATACAGGATTCCAAAGAATTACATAACAAAAATGAGAAAAATTAGGGCAATTCCAAACAAAATCCTGGCATGGTCTTTAAATGTACTCTACAAGCTGGTTTTAAAAGTTATAATTCATGTTGGGTGCAGTGGTGCAGGCCAGTAACCCCAGCAGTGACTGGGGAGGGTGAGGCAGGAGAATCTCAAGTTCAAAACCACCCTCTGCAACTTAGTGAGACCCTCTCTCAAGATAAAAAATGTATGAAAAATGAAAGGACTGGGGATGTGGATCAGTGGCTGAGTGCCCAATCCCTAGTATAAAAAAATTAATAATTCATGTGGAAGGGTAAAAATTTAAGAAGAATAAGGCAGATAAATTTCCCTACAAGACACCAAATTTTATTATGATTCTGCAGTAATTAAAACATCAGGGGGGCATAGGCTGGGACAGATAATGGAATTATCTTTATCAGTTCAAGTTGCTATGACAAAATACCAGAGACTGGAGGGCATGTCAACAACAGAAATTTATTCTGCATATTTTGAAGGCTAGAAGCCCAAGGTTGGGGATCCAGCATGGTCAGGGACTGGGGAGGGCCCTCCTGGGCTACAGACTACTGCCTGCTGGTGCTGACCTCACATGGTACAGACAGGGTGAGGATTATGACTTAATCCCCTCCTCAAGACCCCATTTCTGGATACCATCACACAGGGAGTTAGGAATTCAACCTATGAATTTGGGGAAAACACAAATATTCAGTTTATTATAGGAATGAAACCCAGAATTAAATCCTGATAGATATGGAGCTTCGATATCTAATTGCAGTGGTGTGTTAATCCACTTTCCATCACTGTGACAGACTACCTGAGAAAATCAACTTTAAAAAGGAAAGATTCCTTTTGGATCATGGTTTCAGAGATTTCAATCTACGGTCACTTGGTCCTGTGGCTTTGAATCTTTGTCATGGCAGGGGACACATGGTGGAGCAGAGTTGCTCACATCATGATAGCTAGGAAGCAAAGAAAGAGAAAGGAAAGGGCCAAGGGCAAGCTAGTGCCTTCAAGGTCACATGTCCCCTAAAGTTCCTACCACTTCTGAAGAGTGCCACCAGCAGGAGAACAAGCCTTCCTTGGGGTCACTTCATATCCAGACCAAAACAATGACAAAACATAAAGCCATCTCCAGAAGCAGGAGACACTTATAATGCGGTAAGGACTCACCAGAACAGTGAGATCTGGGGAGCAAGGAGACAATGACCCGCCCCATCTGAGTGGGTGCTGCCCTTGCAGAAACGGCGGCAAAGGGGTCTGTCCTTTTGAGGCTACTGAAACAAAATAGGAGTCAGGACCCAGCAAGGGGTGAACTGTGGTCAACCACACCTGCTTCCGGCTGAAATAAAAAGGGATGCTCCCCATAAATAAGGGTGAATCCTAGGTAAATCAGTCCTTTAATGGCCACAGCCCAACTCTGAATCAACTGGGTACTCAAACCTTGAACCTGGAAAATCTCAAGTTCTCAAGCCCTGAAGGCAACCAAAGGTAACTCCAAGTGGCTGGTGTGCCCATGCACCTGGAAAAAAGCCCAGTGAGCTCCTCTTAGGGCAATGAGAGCATTGTCCATGAGGCTAAGGATGTTTCACTTGTTTCTACAAGTGAAACCTGACCTCTTTTCCAGCACACAAGCAAAGATGGCCAGAAAGAAGCACGAGATGTGCACCATGACAGAGAACCAGCAGGAAAACAGACACAAGAAATCCCAATGCCTGGATCACCAGCCAGAAAACATGAAAGAAGGATGCTGACTATGGGTAGGCTCAAGGGGGTCAAAGGCTTGTCGACTGTTTGCATTGACTGGAAGCTGTAAATTTGACCAAGGAGAATGTGAAAAGAATCATCATAGAAATTATAGAAATGAAAAGCCCAAAACCCAAAATTCAGAAACCACTGAATGGTTTTAACAACAGTTGAGGCCCAGATGAAGAGAATCCATGAACTAGAATGTGAGTCAGAAGAAAGACCCCCTATGGGAAGGAAAAGAGATGCTCAGAAAAGAAATGTGGACGTACTATGTGCTGGGTGCACGCACTTTTAAGAAAGAAAGTGCTGCTTTTATTTTGATTTTTTAAAATAAAACAATAAAGCCAAGTTGTATTAACAGGACCAGAATGACCTTCCACCTGAAACAACTCCCACCCAAAATTTAATACAGGAAGCTGGTGTTTAAGACCAAACATCAGGCAGTGAATGCTGGATCCCAGAGAGACAGGGAAGGAGTGGAGGTGGCCACCACTGAGCGACTCCCAGGACACAGCACAGCAGAACGCAGCTCCAGGGCAGTTGGAGGAGGCTGACAGAAGAGAAGGGATAGCAGGACGGCCATGGTGGTCAGGTTCTCAGGAGAGGGCACCAGACACAAGAGAAGGACAGAGAGAACCCTGGAGGACCGGAGAGGGCACCTTTGTGTTCTCAGCCTAGAGTTTGTCACATAAGCATGTGACAAAACCACCCAAGGATGAAGAGAAAATCCCAGGAGAATGAAGTGGAAAGCCACCCGGTACTCACAACAGGTGTGAGAGTCCCGTTCACAACAGGCAGGTGGGAAAGGTTCCATGCCCACAGGAGAGTGGCAGGTGTACCCGACACTCTCAGTGATGAGAACCAGTCATCACTAGACCAGACTGCACCCTCACCATCTAGAAAACCACAGAAGCAAGACCTGAAAAGACTTAACTGGAGTCAAGCCACACAAATGAATTCAGATTAAATTCAGGAAGATCTGTAGGAATTAAAAAATATATATACAGCACCCAGTGAGGTAAAATTCACAATGCCTGGCATCGGTTCAAAGAAACTAGACAGGTAAAGAAGCAAAAGCTCCCATCCCCAAACAAGGACAAATCACCTGCAACTGACTTCATTGTCAAAATGAGCAAACAAGGACATTAAAACATATCATGGCTGTAGGACATTAAAACATATAATGGCTGTATTCCATGAAAACAAGAAGTCACACAGAAGCCTAAAAGGCACTAAGAAGCACAACCAAACTTAGAAATGAATCCACAATCCTGAGGCTCACCCAAAGTCTTACAGAAAGCCTGAGAGGAAGGAGGATTGCATATTATAGGTGCTAAGAGTGGGGCTGGAGGACCCTCTGGAGAAGGTCAGCGGTGGGTTATGTAGCATAAGTGCTATGATCAGTGGGCTGGAGGGCAGAAATAGAGACCTTCTAAAGGACACACAAAGAGAATCACTTTCCAACAGTTTAGAGAATGGTGTCTGTTAGTCAGCTTTCTGTCTCGTGGCAAAGCCTGGGACGATCAGGCTTGGGATGCAGGTCTGGGAGACCCTTTCCTTAGCATGTGGGGGGCACGGGTTCAATCCCCCACAACATGGCAGGGGATGGTCCTAATAAAATCAACTTAAAGAAGGAAAGATTTATTTGGGGTCATGGTTTCAGAGGTCTCCGTTGGTGCCTCCCTTGCTCTGGCCTCAGGTGAGGCAGGACAACATGGCACAAGGGCTTGGTGGAGGACAGCAGTCAGCTCATGGCTGCCAGGAAGCAGCAACAGGAGAGGGAGCTCAGAATAAGATGAACCTTCCAGGACATGCCCAGAGGCCACCTCCTCCAGCAGGCCTTGCCTCTCTAGGTGTCCACCACCTCCCCAGAGCACCACCAGCTGGGGACCAGTCTTCAACACACAGACCTTGGGGGACAGTCCAGATCCAAACGAAACCAATCAGAAAATGAGTAAGATATAGTAAAAAAGAAATATGAGGATTGGGAATGTGGCTTGGTGGTTAGATACCCCTGAGTTCAATCCCCAGTACAAAAAATATGAAATTAAACAAAAAAAGCAGACACAGGCAATAATAAATGTCAGAGAAGAAAATAAAATAGGAAATAAATATATAAATAGTTGGCAAAAAAAAACAAAAACAAAACAAAACACAAAGAAACAAGAGCTGTTTTTTTTTTTTTTTTTTTTTAAATCACTAACATTGAGAAACCTCCCAGCAGAATGGGCAGGAGCTGCAGTTGAGGTCCACGCTGCCAGCATAGGAGGGAGTGGGACGTGGCCAACATCCAGCTGACAAGCAATGGAGGGAAGGCAACATTTGGAGCATGTTGTTTGGTGTTTCGTTTTTGGAACTGGGGATTGAACGCAGGGCTTTGAGAATGTGAGGCAAGTATGGAGCTACATCCCAGTCCCTGGAGCACGTTTCTGCCACCCAGGTGAAGTGGGCAAAGTCCTGAAGGTGGAGTTCCCACAGGGCCCTGAAGAGCAGACACCCGAGGCATCTGTCAGCCATAATGAGGACGTTCTGTGGTGAGCACGTGGTGCAGAAGGGCCCCGAGGAGCATGCCACCGAACATGGGGCAAGTCAGACGAGGCTCACCCAAAGTCTTACAGGAAGCCTGAGAGGAAGGAGGACTGCCCAGTACCTCTGATACCAGAGAAACCAGAAGGCACTGAAAGTAAAGGACGTTACAGAACTGTTCCTTCATGAAACCAACGCAACATTTCTCTACAATTTTTTAGCAAATCAAATCTGAAGGACATGGACAATAGGCCCCAGGGAACTTCCCTTACTATTCTTCTACCCATCCTCCTGCCCCACCCTAAAGGAGCCCACCACCAAAATTCCTCCCATGACCTGGCCCTGCTAAACCCATACCCTTGTTGGAGCCCACCACCATTTTCCCCTCGAAATTTTCCCCTCAAAAATGTGTCCCTTCATTACTTAATAAAGCATTGCTGGTCCAGTGAGCTCTGCCACCATTTTCTTTTTCTTTTTTTATTCCCTTTCATGTGCTGGCATTTGGGGCCAAAACCCAGGATGGAGATTTGGGGCTGTCTACCCTTTCCTGACCTAATGAACCTCTACTGTGTTTTCATATTTCCCTCCAATTCCCCCTGCCTCTTTCCACCTTATACTCAGAGAAGGAGGCCCTCCGTGAGACCTGGGCTAGAGTTTTGTTTCTTTACTGCCACAAGGATGGAGCAAGGACCCCTATGGGTGTACAAACTGAATATTAGCAGCATCCCCTAATCCTATCTGCTCCAATTCTTTCCTTCTCTTATGTATTCAGACCTCCAGGCTGCTTTTTGCCATTTTGCTCCTGCCTGCAATACCAGGCTTCTCATTCTTTGGAGAGGTAAGTTCTCTTCTGGTCTCTCACAGAGGTGCCCTGCCTGAGACCCTCACCTTTTGGCTCATCTGGATACCAGGGGTCCTCCACAAATGGGATTGCAGGAGGGGACACCCTCTCACTTTCTGGTGGAACTCTGGTGACAGGAGACATTAAGGGATGCCTTGATCTTGACTGACACCCCAGTCAAACCTCTCCAACTTGGGCACTAACCAGCCCATCCCACAGGATTCCCTCTTAGGTTGTCTCATTAAAAATTTCAAAATCCTCCACTTCCAATCTGATCTTAAAAGTAAATGCCTTATTAGGATGAGTACTCGGATCTGGCTGCAATATAAACTAGACAACCTTGTCGATGGCCCAAATTCAGAATTTGTGATATTTGACCTCCAAACCCTCCAAGACTTAGACAAGTTCCTCCAATGAACTGACAAATGGCCTGAAGTTCCTTACCTCCAAGCTTTCTTTTGCCTTTGCACAAGGCCCTCATTATGCCAACCTTGCTCTGCTCTCCAATTAATTCTCACTGATTCCCCACTCCATAAGCCCCTTAGATCAGGTCCTGACTCCCAGCCCTCTTCTTCATTTATTGTCCCCCAAGTAGCAGATAAACCCCCAACAAAAGTAAGTAAAACTGAAGGCCATAAAGGAAAGTTTCATAGATAGGAGTGCCTGATAACTATCAAGAGACTATTAAGGGCTGGGATATAGCTCAGTTGGTAGTGTGCCTGCCTTGCATGCACAAGGCCCTGGGTTTGATCCCCAGCACTGCACACAACCCAACACATACACACACACAAAGAGACTGTCAGAGTCATAAGCCTTTTTTCTGAGTCAATTTGAGATCTACAAATCTTCCTAACCTCCTATATAGGCAAGCTTGATCTCTGTTTCTGTGTCTGCTAGTATGATTATCTAGCCCCAAATGTATACCTCATATTGGTCTAAACAATGTAACATGGCACATAATAGTCCTAACGAACTTTACTAAGAAAGTTCTAAGTAACAGAAATAGAGAGATCTCTACTAAGCACAGAGGTTATGCTAATAGAAAGGTATTTTGTAAAAATCAGATGACATTAGATAACTACATCTTATGGGGGAATCTGTGACATTATAAAACTAATTATTGTGATAATCCTGGCAATGTTAAAGATTTACATTCCCAAATAAAGGCCTTATCCTCACCGGCTTTGTTATGGGAACAACTTCTCAGCTCTTGTACCTCCTGGTGAGATTAATAGTTTCCATCAACTTCATGATATTCATTGATCTGTTCTAGATGCTGTGACATTATTTTGCATAATCTCATTCCAGTCCTCATGTCTTTTTGTTTCTCTCATAGAAGCACCCACCCCCAGATGACTTTACAACCCATTCTTTCCAAACCAGACTTTTGCCATGGACACTTCAACAGACCCAAAACATTCCTAAAATGGAAACCCAAACTGGCCCCAGGTCATCCTGTCTCAGCTCAAAGCAGCCAGAGCAGCCATCTTCACTTTTCCCTTATAGCAGTAAGATTCCCTTTCTCAGAGGGGGGAACCGAAGCCAGGAGACAAAAAGACAGTGTAGATAATAAATGATTGGGTCAAAAAGGAGGGGCCTGATTCAGGAGGAAATAGAATGTTCATACCTCCAGGACACTTCCCCCATCCCTACCTGCGGCCAAGGTGACCTGCCTCCAGGGAACTCTCCTCCTGGCAAAGAGTTGTTAACGAATGAATGCCCCCATCCACTCTCTTGCTCTTCCTGCCTGTACCCCTGGGCTTTGTTCCTGCCCTGGGATCAGCCATCTGTGGCCCTCCTTTTGTCACTAGTCACAGGACAGAGAGAGAGAGGCAGGATTGGGCGGGGGAGCCTGCTAACTATTGTGTATGATTCTATCAAGTGGGCCCTCTGTGCTGACCCCCACATGCTTTCTTTTCCAAGAAACAATTTATCTGCAGCCCTGCCTGGCCCCTGAGGACAGGATATGTCACATTTCTTAGCAAACTACCTGTTCACTAAAGGAGAACTGCAGACCCAAAGTAATATTGATAAGAGGAACCCAAGTATCTCTGAGGAAGATTTCGTGACCAGATTCTGAAACTCTGGGAGGTTCTCAAAGTAGAGCTCCCCTACCTTTAAAATGAGACACCCTTCTCTAGACTCTCATAATACACATTTTCTCCTGTACTCCCCTCATCTGGCAGGAAAAGACCAGATAGCTGTCTCCTTTAACTAGAGTAAAACTAGCCCTCATCTGTCTGTCATATTTCAGGAACACAAATCATTTCTCTAGTGAAGATGTCACCCAGAGCACTAACAGACTTGCCTCCTACTTGAAATTGAGGCACATAATACGAGATCATGGTCCTGTGAATTTGAGGACCCAAAAGGACAAAAGGAACATGTAAGAAACTTTAAGGGCACAATTAGCTGGCAAATGTCCTCCCTTAAATTAAAATATTTTCAAGAAGTTAGTTATTATCCTCCATTTTGAGTGAGGCCCCAGCCAGAGGTTATGGAGGAAAAGGCAGAAACTGCTGACCCTTACAGTCTCCAGCATAGGGGAGCTGTCTTCTAGCCAAAGAAACATTTTTTTCTCGGCACAGGTGCCCATATTTCTCTTCTCTTTTTAAAATATTTGTTCAGAGGAGGGTCTTATCCTCAAAAGTAATAGTAGGGGATGACTTAATCACAGATGAGATAAAGGAGATGCCTAAAAATTTTCTGCCTCCAACATGGCCTGATTACCAACTGGGGAAATGAAAAAGGGTCTCTGGAGGAAACATAAAATGCAGGACCATACCTTAAGAGACTGATTTTACAAAAGAAAAAAAAATGGTTAAAATGCAAGCTCATGACAGCAGCTTCCCTCACTTAGCTTCTGCCAGATCTCTATCTCATCAAGGCTTGTGTTGAAATGTAAAAATCGTGGAGGTCTGCTGGGCTTGCAGGGAGCTGATTTAGGACCAAAAGGGGTAAAAAGTGTTACTTTTAAAGCCAAGCCACTTGTGAGACCTAAATGGCTGATTTATTTCCCTTTTGCAAACTAATGATCTCATATATCAAGTCTTCTTTACCTTGAGAATCTTTACCTAAGGATTTCAGGGCTCTCTCTCACATTCTTTTAATATCTGAACTCTAATCTGAGCCAAAAAGTGAACTCTGATCTTATAACAGCCATGTTATTTTTCCGCTAGAACTCTTGTTTTTAAATTTTATATATATATATATATATATATATATATATATATATATATATATATATATATTTTGGGGAGAGGCAGGTGGGTACTGGGGATTGAACTCAGGGGCACTTGACTACTGAGCTCCAGCCCTAGCCCTAGCCCTATTTTGTATTTTATTTAGAGACAGGGTCTCACTGAATTGCTTAGCACCTTGCTAAATTGCTGAGACTGGCTTTGAATTCTTGATTCTTCCATCTCTGCCTCTCAAGCCACTGGAATTACAGGTGTGCACCACCGCGCCCAGCTAAATTTTATATTTTTGAGCTCATAGTTTTATGATAAATTCACATTTGATCCTGTGTGCCTAAATTAATATTTTTTTCTGATCAGTTTTATTTTATCTAACTATAGAGGTTTTTATATTCTGTCTTTGTTCAGGGGCCAATTTTCAAGAATTAGGTCTCAAATACATTGGGAAAACTTCCTCTTACAACAAACAACTATGAGATCTCTGTCTCCTATCTGTTTTGTGTATGTGTGCACACCTATGTATTGTGGTATTGTATCTACATATGTGCTTATGTCCATACATAATGTACATGATATCAAAATTGGCATATAGATAAATGAGTACTCATAAATTAAAATTTAAATGATGAATAGATCCAAGTACCT